CTGTTCACTGCAAAAAGAATCTTGAGTTTGAGACAGCTGTCCCAGTGTGTTAACAGGTCAGTACCATATTATTGCTGAACACTTTAAGCATTTAATAACTTTTTCTGTTTGAATACTGATTAAAACCAATTCCTTTATCAGTCTGATTTCACCTAATTTTCCCCATAAGCTTCAGTTTGAAGTATTGTTAGCCAAGTGTATGAGTCAGCGGAATATTTGTTACTTCATACAATACCTTCCCGTAAAGGACACTCAGAAGGACTGGAATACTGTGGGGTAGACATGGAATAAGTGGATAACTTCCAATCTTACAGGATAAAGTTAGAAAGAAAACAGTCTCTTCTTCAGAAACAATTTATAATGAGTGTTTCTTGTCCTTTTGCTCACTTAGAATAAAGGTGCTGATGAAAACAATAATTTGCATGCCGTTTATTCCTTGGTTATAGGCTTAAACTGACCTGAGCTGCTCACCCTTAAGTAACCCTAAAATATTTTGCATGCCTCTTGGTTTGGCGGTAACTCCAGTTCTCAAATGACTGGTGGTTTCATCATTCTGTTGAGTTTATTATGCTTACAAATAGAACACACTCTGTAGTTAGAACAGCTCACCTTGGTGAGTTAGTGATATTGGGGAGTACAACTGGAAATGCGTAGGTGGCTGGCTGGCTTCCAATCTTGCAGAACAAAACTGGGTAGAAAGTGGTTTCTTTTGTGGTGGCAGGGCTTAATGTTTTTTTTTTTTCCTTTCCTTTTTCTCATTGCTCACGTGGAACCAAGATGATGATGGTAAGCTGGAAGCCCGTAATTTATTAACTTGATTATCAATTTTACCTGAACTAACCTGCTCACGCTTACTAACCTATAAATGCTTTGTGTGCCTTAGAGAACAAGTTTTCAAACTGATAATGGCTATGTAAAAAAGAGGGCTACAGCTCATCTTCTCCTTCTGAAGCTGATGTTGCTTTATTTCCTCCTAAGGTAGAGGGTAGTGGCTTACCTAACAGAATGACCTTTTAATGCGATTCTAGTTGTTGGGCAAAAGAGAGAACTGTTGCTTCTGAACTCTCATTAACAGATACCATAGCTTCTCTTGCTTATATATACAGACTGCTGTATTCTGGGAAATCCTTCTGTCTCGCCTGGGTTGCTGCAAGCCAGAGGCAGAAAGAATAAAGTAGCCTCCATTTTGCTTAAGATTGCCATTCTAAGAACTTACTTCACACGGTATCCTTAATGACAAGATTAAGGCTGTAGTGAACTGTTAAGATCTGAGGAGACTACAGCAAAAACATTTGACCTTCTTTGCTTAATATTTCTACAGGGCTGGAATGCGATGCCTTTTGTAAGGAAAAAATTCTCCACCGAGTCCTTCGAAATGTGAATAGCCAATTGCTTGTGGTTCGACCAGATTTAAACATGGCAGCTTTTGAAGATGTGACAGATCAGGAGATAAAAGCTGGTACACCACTTTTCAAATACATACTATAACCATTGCACTGTTTCTTTATTCTAGATGTGCTTTTGTTCTTTGTAATCGCTGACTCTAAATGATGAGACTGAGAGAGACTTAAACTTCATTTGTAAGAATAAAGCTAAGCTGAGAGCTGAAATTTTGTGTCTTGCGTGCTGGTAATGGATGAGATTCCTGGATTAGACAGAGACCTGCAGGACGTCCCATGCAGAAAAGGGCTGCTAAGAATTTTGGTTAGCTTTGATCACAAACTAAGTTCTTAATCCCTTTTTTTTTCTTTTTGTGTTGAATTGCAAATTCAGAATCTTAGTTACTGAGTGATTGCAGAAAGTCAAATATGTGCTATGAGCAGTCATAAAGATTCAAGTCCTGGCTCTCAGGAAAAGTATCCTGGGAAGATAGCAGTTGCCAGAGGAATGGTAAGACATAATACAGTTAAGTTGTTGCAGCTCTCTCCTGAGCAGACTATTAATAGTAAACAATTTATATCTAGGCAATGGAATGCACTTCAACATTCACTATTACAAAACTACCACACCTTCAGCAGGGATGCCTGTTGCATTCAGCGTCCAGGTAGAAGATAAAAGTTATTACATGTGTTGTGAGAAAGAATGTGGAAAAATGATAGTTCGGTTTAGGGTAAGTATCTGCTTTCCGTACCTTATGTGTATGTCAGTAGTAGGCAAAACTAAAAATTCAAACATGTGTGAACTGAAACAAAACTGCTCAGGTCTTGTGCTGGGACTAACCGATTCCATTTTTCTTCCTCAGGAAGGAGAAGTTCCCAAAGAAATTCCTGGTGAAAGTAACGTAATCTTTTTCAAAAAGACATTTACGTCTTGCAGCTCCAGAGCGTTTAAGTTTGAATACTCACTAGAACAAGGAATGTTCTTGGCTTTTGAGGAAGAAGGCTGCTTAAGAAAATTAATTCTAAAGAAACTGTCAAGAGAAGATGAAGTGGATGAAACCATGAAGATAAGTTTCTAACTTCAGTCAGAATGAAAGTCACAACCTATGACATACTTCAACAGTCTTAAAATACATTTTGGCTTTTTATAAAAGAAATCTTATTCTTTCTTCATATGAGGCAAGCTGGTTTTGTATTTTTAGCTACCACTGTAAGTCAGTATAAAAATTAGCATTTTACAAAGGAAAATAAATTCAAATTCTTTGGAAAAAGCAGCAGAATATTTTTCTGGTCAGATAGGAAAGAGAATTGCACAATGGAGTTACAAGAATGTGCTTGCCCATATAGTCCTGTATAGTTTGACCCCTAAAACCTTTATTCCTTTTGATCAAACAGGTTTTGAATTAGGTGTCTCATAGACAAAGTAGACCTATTTTGGGGAGGGAGAGAAAACTGCTTAAAGTAACATATTTCATAATTGGACCATATACCTAGCCAATAAACACTTTGAGATTACTTTTTTGCATCATTTGCTGAGTGTCTTCATCAATCTCAGTCACACTGCGACATTCTCACCTTCAACTGAAGTAGAAACAAGAGACAATTTTTAGCTTACTGCAAATATTTGCTTAGAAAAGTGCTAACTTACCCGAACAATTAAAGTTCTAATAAAGTGGTTTGTCCTCAGAGGGCACAAGAAAAAAAAAAAAAAGAATTATGCTTTTATGTAAGGGTTTTAAAAGTTAACAGTAAAGTGTAGGTTAGTGATGAAGTGACAGACAGTTACCCTTCTAACAATTTGGAACAAATGTAGATATGGCTGGCTCCCGTAAGGACCCCATCTTATTCTGCAAATGTGACAATGCAGCATATGTTGGGGTCAAGCTCTGAACTCTGTTTCGCATTCAGAGCTGAGCAAGCACTGGATTTCACCAAAACCAAAATTAATGAAATGCAGTCTGCATATTTAATATTGAGGAAATTGACACGGCAGATGTTATTCTTTTCTTCTGCATGTAAGTGCTGGTCTTCATCTTCTGTTCCAACTTCAGGTAGTGATAACCTGAGTATTGCTTGCAGCTGGGGTCCTGGGTCTTCAGCGTGCCATACAGAAGAGCTGCTACAATTGTCATACCCCATACAGGCCGAAGTAGTCAGAGAAAACAGGAAGGACTATCTGTCATGAAATGGAGGAAAATGTTCAAACTTGCCGAAGAGATAAGTCTCAAGACCTGTTTTGGTAAAAACCAAACTAACACTATAATTTGTTACACTGATATCTGGAGATCAGACCACAGCAGACAGAAGTAACCATCTCAATTCTTACCACAAGACTAGCAAAACAAAAGCAGCCAGCTACGTGGTATTTCCCATGGTTACATGAATAAGTAAATAAATAACAATTCAAATCCAGATTTAAAGAAAAAATTAAATCAAATCAGAAAGTCTGGCAGAATTCAAACAGCAACTTACTTATTAATTCTGTTTCTTGCATAATCAGACTGATGGGAACACACAATTCTCTTCCTCGTACTATCAATAGTAGCACAGTAGTACCATTAGAATGTAGAAACAGTTAACCACTCTTTACTACTATGAAAGTCAGAAAAGATAAAGCAGAGAAGAAAGTTAAAAACTGGACTCTTATCCCCCCCTCCCTTAAAATGCTCTAAAACCTAAAGACGTAGGAAAGAATGCTGCCTCAGTCTCATGTCAAGTTATGACAGAAAGGGTATGTTTGTTGTCTTTTCAGCCACATAGGAAAATGTGTTTTATTTAGAAAACAAATGCAAAAAAATGTTGCAGATGAACATACACATTCCAGGGAAACTGTGAAAGCTATATGCTATTTATGGCTCCTAAAATTAATGTGCAAAAGTATTTTTCTTCTAAGTCAATTATTGCAGTATTTTCTAATGGATGTTACTCTTGTGTTAAGTCAACTCTAAGTCACCTCTTTAAGTATTAAGGACAATACATATTCATAAAAATATTTTTTGTTTTATAACATCTAAATTAAGTTATGCAGAATAACAGTATGGAGAGTAACAGAACAGTCTGAATTAGTATTTGAACTTGATTTTAGGAAAAAAAAAACCACAAAACCAAACACTATCTGCAGAGAAAACATTTGAAGTAACCCAAGTAACCCAAAAGTAGTAAAAATCATTTAGAAGCGCACACACAGAATTTCTGTAAATTCTTTATTGTATGGATTAAGAAAAAAATACTCCCTTTTCTATATCAGCTCTTCAAGACCAAAGAGTTACAGGGTGTGCCTTACATACAGTTCAGTTGTGGTGTCAGAAATAACAGTTCAATTTTCTGAATAGGAAACCAAACAACAGTTATTTTAGAAAAACACTCATTAAAGCTTCCATTAGAAGGAAAGTTACCTTCAGCTATGTAAGTCTGTCATTGATGTAATTAATTCCTCCCAATTTACAGTGCAGCTTAAATCAACTCACCCTTACCTGGACATTACCCACTTTAAATCTACTTTTTATTTTCTAACATTTTTACTTCTGTTGGATATTTATTTCTAAAAGACTAGCTCTGAATTCGCTGCAGTATGTACATACTATGGATCCTTGGTTATTTATTTGTTTCGCAGGAAACATGTTGATAAAAATATGATGAAGCAGAGGCAGCAGTGAACAATCGTGTCTGTCAGGGCCTCGGTCGCATCTTAGAGGCTCCACAGCATGGCAACAGCCTTGCAAATACCAACATCGTAGTAGTTAAAGTAGCAGAGGCCAGCAAAGGTAACGACCGACAGTACGTACAGACCTGTATTGGCCAGTTTAATGGGTGTATCTCCATGGACGTAGTCAGTTATCACCTGTCCAAGACCCCTACAGAATGAGAGGGAGAAAAAAGCTGAAATCGGGGAAAAAGCATTCCTCACTGAAATCCACCCACTTTCTGTCAGCATTTTAGTAAGATGGCTCAAACACAATTTTTTTCATCTGCTATCACTAGCCTTTCCTAAAGAATGCCCAGTTCCCACTCAAAAAGAGGATGCATCTATTAAAAAAACCCAAAACAAAACACAAAACAACATAACATTCCACATATTCTATTAAAAAAATACACATATTGGCTCAGAGTTTTCTTAATTGTACTAAGGAAACAAGGTGTTGAGCACAGCTCTTTCAGATAATAGAATCCGCCTCCAAAAAACAGTGGGTAGCTTATCTGACTTCCAAGGACTGAAGAAAAGAAACCAAAGGAAATATCCTTGCTTGAACAGCAAGGTGTGGCCATAGTCACAAACGCACAGGAGACTCCAGGATGTGTATTTAGATTAGAAAATAGTGCCAACCAAAAAATTAGTATACTCTGTTGTTTTCTACATGTGTCAGAGTGAAAGTGAACTCTTATCCAGATTTAAACTATCCAGGAACAGGAAGACAGAAGATGCTGTTAAACTAATGTGGTAGTTCTTTTCCCGAAAGTACAATTATATTTGCTTTCTGCAATGACAGATGTCAACTGGTAAAAAAAGAGAACCGTATTTAATGCAAAACTTTTCTTCCTAGGATTTTGCTTTGGTCTAGCCTGAAGCTGAAGGACTTGTGTCCCACGAGTTAAGACACACTAGTGACCTAGCAAGGTTGAAAGTCCTGCAGCAGATGCCACTGCAAGTGAACACTGTGCTCAGTTTCACTTAGATGGGGTTCTAATACCATAAAGATGCCAAAAGCAAGAACCCCTGGATACACAGAAGAGAAGCAGAAAGTGGGAGCAGTCTGAGAGGCAACTACTCTCAAACTATTACAGCTACTTTTTACAACTGGACCGTGGAATAAGGTGAGGAGTGCAAGCAGCACTTACCCACGTTTTGAGCCTTCGAAAGTGCAGATAAATAAGGCATACTCAGCTTGGAATTCACAGGCTGCCCTGCCACTATAGTGTTGAAAAGGGATTTTTCATAACATCTTTTCTTGGCATGGCACAATAAGACTGAGCCATGCTAAGACTTCTCAGAAAAATTGGTGTGTGACTTTACAGCAGACTAATTAATTCACACAAAGCCCTCATGGGAAAAGACTAGTAGCCCTGAGAACAAGGAAGGGAATTAGTGAGAAACAGCTGACATGTGGTAGCCACACAGTTTAGCTCACAACACAGCAGCTTCACTGCGCAGAGAAATCTTTACTACACGCCAGCAAAAATGGCACAAGGTAAAGATGGCTTCAGGTATCCTGAGTAAGTCTATTGATAGGTTAGTGTTTGGACGGATAACCACCTAAATATGTGAAGCACTATTTCCAACATATTTTAGGACAAGATTTCCTAAGGAAACACATAGCAAAAGGTAAAAGAAAACCCCTCAAAAATATGTGCGATACTCTCTGCAGTTTCTGATCAGCTACTAGAGGGATTATCCAATCTGTTACGGCAATCGAACTAACATTTATGGCAAGCAAATAATCTTTTTTCTTTTAAAGATATTCTAGCACTGAATACATATGAAAGTACAAGAGGAGAATTTCCGTACACAGGAACACCTTTAGGTTTTTTTAAGACAGTGTTTTGCAAGGTAAGAGTTTAATACTGGACAAACTTTCCAGCTTAAAAGGAGAACAAAACCCCACACAAGTGGGGGAGGAATTCACTCTGATGAAAGTTACCAGCAGAGCTGCACACAAGCAGCAAGACATTTTTCTCAGGGGGGAAGTCCCCACACTGTTTAAGGAAAAGGGATTTCTAGTATGAACAATCCTGACACTTTTGTCAACAAGAGACATTCACTAAATAATCAAGTGTGCATGCACTGACCCGAAATGTCATCCAGAGAACCCATTTCCATGCATCAACCTGCAACAACCTCTTCCGTTGCCTGGAATTTCGTCACATGGTCACATCCAGTATGGCATCAACATGCACATACCAAACAAGTGAAGAAATACTACAAAGGCAGGCAAGCTTAGCTTTATATATTTTATATTTGAAAGAGCTCTGCCAAACATGTTCAAGGATAGCAACATTCTAGATTAAATCTGTACTAGATTCGAGGGCCTTGGGAAGCAGCTCCCAGTCACAGTGACAAAAGTGCAAGAATCCCTGGTAGAACTTCATACGGGCAAAACCGAGATTTAAGAAAACCTAACATCCCGAAGTACCATGAAGCTGCTTATCTGCTTTATCCCTGTGACAAGGAACTACAGACCAGTGTCACCTCAAGAATGTAAACGCTGCCAGTTAGGCCAACCATGCAGCTGGATCCATTCCTAACTAGACCCATCTAGCCTACTCACATTAAAGATCACAGCAGAACTACAGTTAAAAGGAACATGAGCAAGCATCTATTTCCCAGGAATCAAGAAAATAATGATCAAGGTCTCAGCGTCTTTAGTGGAATATTTGCTATGCACTCTTTATTATGCAGAATCTCATCACCATTGAGATGTACAAAGCCAGCCCACAGCACAGAACCTTAGAAGAACAACTTGTTTTATATAGATCTGTCCTGTTTCTGTTCCTTCTTTTCATACAACATTGATTCTTCTACAATGTAAAAATGTCCAAGATTCTACACAGCCAGTGGCAAGGAAGTCCTCCTAAGGTAAGATACTGTGTAGAAGAACAGTAGAGAATGTTTACGGATTCGATTCCTTAATAGTAATATGTATCCTGCCTTCTGACTGAGAGAACAGTGTGACAAAGGAAGACCAAGATCCAACTAGTCTTGTCAAAGATCATAACTGTCACAGAACTTGGAGAGCAAGGACTTTGTTTGCATCTCTTTCCAGGTGTTTTATACTAGATCAGGAAGTAAGTCAGTAGACTTACTGCCATATACAGATTTAAGAGCTAAGGCTTGGAGCCATCCTGACTATCAGACTACTCCTAATTCTGAGGGACCTATTGTGCTTACCAGTGGCCATGGAGAGTGAGGGCTGCAGCCAGTGAATAGTCCACGGCTGGTCCAGGATACAGGTAGGCAGCAGGAAGGAGACCCAGCAAGAGGACACTGACAGCTCGCTCACCTGTCCAGTGCAAAGACGCAGCCTTGGAACTGCCTGTAAGGAGAAGTATTTTTGAGTGCAAAGTTCCTGTTCGAAGTGCTGTAACCTTAAAAACGGACACCTCATCCTGATCAGCACCACACAATTACATGTTTTCTCTGACCTGATTACTAAGCTTTCATCCAACCAAAACCCAGACCCCTTTGAATTACTGCTATAGAACATATATCTATTTTACAATGTCTAAAAGGTTAACTTTAAATACTCCTCTCTTTGCTGCTGCTAAGAAAAAGAAGCTTCTTTTACTACAAAAGAATGTAAGCTCAACAGGTAAAGTCAAAACAAACACCAGTCTTACTTTCACAACCTGCAGTTCAGGACTAAGGTCCAAGTCAACCATCACAGGAAAGAAGTGCCTCCGAAGGCAAACCCTTCGGGTCTAGTGAATTTCCTGCCTGTTACACACTATTTACTACTCCCAGCTTTTGAGAAATGGCTTTGAGATCCGGATGGACACAACTACAAGGTCCAGTGAACGGCACATCATGATAACTCTGTGGGTAGTTCTGCCCAGGAACCAATATTGCTATTTTCAACTGTAAATAGCAGATTAAACTTCTGTGACCGTCACAGTGATATATGGCCTAGAAGTAGCCTGAACGCCAAAGGATTTCAGTCCTCCATTGATACTCAGTTGGGTACAATTTGAACCATGTAACAGATGACTCTAGAAATAAAAATACTAGTTAGGGAGCTCTGTAACCAACTCTTACTTTTTAGAAGAATGCAAATACTATTAGAGAGGAAAGAAACAAAAAAAAAAACATCTAGAAAGTTCTGGAGCAAATCAAAACCCTAACATCATAAGCAATACTTTGAATCAGAATATCAGCATCAGCCCAGGCTAAAAACATTAAGAACTGACTCTGTGAAATTACCTTTATAATACAATACCCTCAAAGTGCTTATGCAACACACAGATATTATCCACCCATCTAAGCCAAAATGCAAACATTTTTCTTCATTTTTGCTAGGAGTAAGAAACTTAGAAAAGTGACAAGATAAGGAAAGCAAAAGACCTGAAGTAAAACATGAAAGGGATTTAGGCTGTGGACTAATAAGCTGTTCCTGTAGAACTCCACGGCCTAGAACGCCTCACAGCACAAGCATGAAGTCTGACGTTAATATAAAGTCCAGAACAGAAAGGAAGGAAATGGCTTTGCTGTGTTTAATCCAGTTTCTTTTACAAGCGTTTCTTCATCCTTTCCACTTCTAAGTTGCATTGCAACAGCTACAAAACATCCTTAATCTCTGGTCACAACATTTCTCATATTTAATTGTGCAACTGACAGACCAGCACTTGGTCTTGCCATGGTTGTATTTCATCACTTCTGTGAGGTCTTATCACACAGAGAGAGGAAAAAACAATCTAAGAAATGCTCTCTGCCTGCAGATCAGACTTCTCAGATTAAGCTCAGTGAATCACAAGCCCTACTGTTCAAGAAAGAAGTCACAACTGCAGTGGTTTTGGGTTATTACTGCTGCCGAATCATAAAAAACATTAAACCTTCTCTCTGATCTCTTTTAAAATCTTTCAACCTTTTTTCCACGCTTGAAAAAACCACCACCTTTGTTAATAAGCAGATATTTACTTTTTTAACTTTCAGTTAATATCTCTTATTTTAAAGACTTGCAGCGTTCACACACTTGATACTGACATCACAAATGCCAGTTCCAAATTCAAGCAGTGTAAAGTCACGTAGACCTTATTTTAAATCAGACCCGGGCAGAGTGCAAATCAACAGTCATAGTATCAACTGAAAATAGTACTGAGAAGGTGACAGTAACACGTTCTGGCAATACCGGTAACTCTGCCTCACCCAAGGAGAACTACTGTGCCATGCGTCAATTTTTTCCGCCCTTGGTTACTCACGCCTGCCGTTTAAAATCTCCCACTCGGCTCAAAAAATCGGCAACCCTGACCAGGCGTGGGTGTAACGGCACACGAAGAACACGCCGTTCGGCTGGACTGGAGAAATCGTTTCGAGGACGTGGGAATAACGGCTCAGCGCCGTCTGACAAACCCGGTGCCCGGTGCCGGCCACGGGGAAGACCAGATATCCACGCGCCCCCACGCACCCCCGAACACCGGACGTACCGTGGCCCTGCTGGGGGGCACTGTGGCTCTGCCGGGC